GGCGATGCGGCGCGATCATCCGACCCATCTACTCTGACCCCATCTGTGAGGCCTCGAATGAATGGCCCCCCCCAATTCGAATGAGTCCCTGTCCACCCCCTCGACGACCGTGGCCTCGGCCCTGCGCGCGGCAGCCGAAAGAAGCGCACAGACGTTGGACGCGTCGATCGCGCCTTGGGGGGCAACAAGATACCGATACCGCTGCCCCCCGGACCTCGCCCGTGGTCATGACCAACACTTCGAGGCGACTCCAGCCGTGGCGACGAGAGCCTCCCGTGGAGGCCCCAAAAGGCGAAAACGAGGAACAAAACATGGCATGAACGTACAACCTTCCAAGGCCCGCGCGGATTTCCTGGATCGTCGTTGGACCCCCTCCCTGGCGCGAGCAGCGTGCCAGGGAGGGTGCCGGAAGCGCCGCTGGGGGCTCCAGCGCCGATCCGAGAAATCTGCGGCGACCTCCAAAACGTTCTGTTTATGTCATGATTTGTTACCGCGGGTTCGTGTCGCGTTGACCCTGGCGTTGATCCCTGACGCCACGCGAATCGTTCAACCTTGATCGATCGGCCGTTTCCGAAACGTCAGATCGTTCACATCGATCGATGATGGGTCGCCAGCGGCGTTCCACGTTGAGCGCCAGCAGCGTGGTCACCGTCAATCGACACGACGCGAACCTACCGTACAGTGGAGGCCAGTCCACAATACACCTTTCACAAGAAACCCAACCCTGAGATCCCAGGACGTCCATTGATTTGTGGTAGCGTCACGTTTCCCATAGCAAAGCCATCGCAACCCAAGAAAAACCCAGGGCACCCTGGAGGCAAGCAGGGTGTTTTCTTGGCATGGGCTTCCACTCTACACCCTGCGAAATGCTTTAGAAACCATGGGTTAAGAAATTCATGGTCTCAGAACTTGAATAAAAACCCAACATTTCTATCAAAATCTTGGGATTTACATTGAAACGTTAAGAATAATCGAGACTCTGGCCGAAAACTTAGGTTTTCTTAAGCATCGCCTAAGGTGTACCTTTCTCTCCTCTGAGCGCCATCCCCTGGCAGCGAGATGGCGCCCACGAAGCGCGACGGGTCCTTGGACAGCAGCCCACCGCACAGGGCGTCGACCTCCGCCAGCGGCACCTCGCGGGCCTCGAGGCCGTAGCTGCGGGCGCGGCTCGCCGTGCGCCGCAGCATCTCCATGCTCGGGGATGGACAGACCCCCCTTTAGTAAAACGTGGTTTAGTGAAAACGACCTGAGGCCCAAACCTGGCGGGCACAAGCCCGGAAAATAACGGCCGCGGCGCCCTCTCGAGAACCGAAAACGGACAATTCACTAGTCGACGTGTCACTGTTGGGGGTTCTGTCCACCCCCGACATGCGCTCGGGCGTGCGTGCCAGGCTCACAGAGCCGCACCGCTGGAAGCCCGAGGACCGCAGAGGAGCAGAAGACCACACGACCAGAACCCTTCGGATCCCTGCGCTGGAGATCCGGTGTGTGCACGCTGGGCCTCCCGGCGGGGGGGACCCCTCGGCGCCGCCCCCGGCACGATCCGCGTGCCAGGGGGAGGAAATCTGCGCGGAGCTCCGAAGGTCTCTGCCTGTGCCGCTTTGTGCCCCTCTGGACAGCCCCGTTGTCTCCTCTTCGGGCGCCCGAAATGGATGCTGGAAGAATGCGCACGACGCCCAACAACACATGTTGTCCTTAACCACTAGCGGCCGCTGTTGGGCAGGCGGCATGTTTGTCTTCAAGGAGCAACGTCCGCGGCGGTGCGACAGCGAGTCCTGCTCAGAATGAAGAAGAACTGCTGTTGGACATCGTACCTATCATTTCCGTGCCCATTTCGAGCGTCCCGATCCTCGAGCTCGCGATACAGCTGTGCGCCGTACACCCCGGACAGGAGGGTCTCCATCTTCGAGGCCCGCATGAGCCCCACAAGCCCTGCCGCGTGCCACGTCGTTCCGCCGCCCAGCCTTTGCGAGCAAGATTTATATGTCCATGTCCACTCCGCATTGGACTTTTGGGGAAGGGTCGGCGGTCTTCGGGAGGTCTTCGGCGGTTTCTCGCGGACATTGTGGCGGTTTCCAGCGGCCTTCGAGGCCAAAGCTGGATGGCTGCGTTCAACAAGGGGTCCATAATCAAACACTCCATCTACGGGCCAGATGCTCATCCATTACCCATCTGATCCACTGCGCCTCTGGCTTCTGTTGTGCATGCCATGGCAATGGACACTCTATCAATCCGATCATTGAATTAAAGATGTGCTGAACATGTGTAAAACATGTTCCAAAAACGGTTCAAACATGCTCTTAACATATTTGCAAACATGTTTTAGGCATCTGGCAATTATTTGGCATCATGCTTCCTCTCCAGTGATCAACCTCCACCAGACATGCGGACGCGGTTCTGGCCCGCCCGGCCAGCCTGCCCTGCTCCAGCAGCAGCACGCTCGACCCCGGGAGCCGCCTGCGCACGTGGTAGGCGACGGAGCACCCCACCACGCCGCCTCAAGTAAGAAGTCGGGCCTGTCCCTCTACAGGAGGAACATTCAAAAATGGTCAAAAAAATTGTCAGGGGGACTATTTTTCGAACGTTTTCTGACCACTTGGGAGTGTGTTTTGAGCACTGCTGATCTTTCGTCGAAACCCCGTAGGGGGACACGCCCGACTTGACTCAAGCAGGTGAGCCCAGAACAGCCGATCGATGAGTCCGATCAGCGATCGCAAGAACTCGGAGCGGCGGGAACCGACAGGCCGGCACGGCCTCCATCGAGGCATCGAAGACGCACATCGACACACCCGACGTCGGCTCGAAGCGGAGCGCGCCCCGATCGGACGTCGAAGCGGGCCCGGCCGCGGGGTTGCGCTGGCGGTCCGGCGGCACCAATCCTTGCCTCAGCGCCCCTCAAACGGGGACTCCACTAACGGGTACTTTGGCCAGTGACCCAGCGAACCCAGCCCTTCCCGATGTGGGCAAAGCTGCAATGCAAGAAAAAGGCCCTAAAGTGGCAACTTTCGGCAAACATTCAAAGTACCCGTTAGTAAGTACCCGTTACGGTGCCGTTGATTGCCAGGCCAGCCTTGGGCCCCGGATGGGCACAGGTCGGGCACAGCCCCCAGGGCGTCTGAATGAGGACGGCAGGGTGCACGGGGGCATCCCCTCGCCATCGCTCGGGCGTCCATTCCCCGCGCAGTGTTCGGCTTCGTGCGTGCTGTGCTCCAGGGGGGGCCCAGGATGCTCCGCGACGCTCCTCGCCGGAACCAGGCGACATGTCCGATCGATGTCAGGTCCTCGGGAGCCGGCCAGCAACGGTGGCCGAGGACAGGGCGAGAAGGCCAGGCTGCAAGGGGCACCATCGGAAGACCACCTCGTCCTTGTCATGGGCGGTTGGGCGCGATTTAATGGGGGGCGATACGTGTTGGTCGGAAGAAGTAGGTAAGCAACATGAGGTAGGAAGGAGGGTCAAATAGATTGGGTCCAGGCCCTCCGAGAGAATATCAAAACACAGCAAAGGCAGATCGATGATTGCAATAGGAAGGCGCCTGACGCAGGTTGGCATCTGGGAGTCCACAGATAACTACTTCCGACGACCGGCGAGCGCAAATGAGGAGGGCGAAAGGTAGGGTGGACAGACCTCCTTTTAGAAACCGCCCCTTTAGTGAAAACGGCCTGGGACCGAAACCGACGGACCTGGACCCGCAAGAAGGACGGCCACGACGCCCTCTCGCGAACCGAAAACGGCCAACTCGCTGATCGACGTGCCAGGGGAGGAGGGCTGTCCACCCCCGACCCTCTTGGGCCCAGCAAGGGGCCCTCCAGAGGCCCCAGAGGCGGGGAGGAGGAGGAGGAGGAGGCGGAGGAGGAGGAGGAGGAGGAGGAGGAGGAGGAGGAGGAGGAGGAGGAGGAGGAGGAGGAGGAGGGGGCTAGAGTTAGGCAGCCCCCCCCTGCCGCCCCCGTGGAGCGCCCCCCCCCCCCTCCACTCGCGGCCTCCCGGGGGCGGCGACCGTCCCCGACCTCGGACTCGCCATCGCTCGGACGTCCAGTCCCCGTACGCTTGTCCGTGTCGTGCGTGCGTGCGTGTCGTGCGTGCGTGCGTGCGTGCCTCGTTGTGTGTGTGTGTGTGTGTGTCTGTGTGTATGTGTGTATGTGTGTGTGTGTGTCTGTGTATGTGTGTATGTGTGTGTGTATGTGTGTATGTGTGTCTGTGTATGTGTGTATGTGTGTATGTGTGTATGTGTGTATGTGTGTGTATGTGTGTATGTGTGTATGTGTATGTGTGTATGTGTGTGTGTATGTTTGTGTATGTGTGTGTATGTGTGTGTGTGTGTGTGCGCGTGTGCGTGTGCCTGTGTGTGTGCGTGCGTGCGTGCGTGCGTGCGTGTGTTTTCCCTCTCTCCCGCCGCCGCCTTGGCGCCTCCTCCCTCCTCCTCCTCCTGCACGGTGGCCGAATTCGCGCTCCGTGCGCCTGCCGACGCCCTAACTAACGCCAGCGCTGTGACTCTGCCTGGCCGCCGACGCAACAAGAATGCGTCGTCTCAGGGTGGCCCACGGTGCTCTGGCGCTGGCCTCGCCGAGAGGGATGCGCACGTCCGAGCGATTCCCGGCCGACGAACGAAGCCTCCCGCTGTTCCACCCGCAGCCCCCACAGGAGGCCTCGACCTCTCCCCCTGTGCAGAAGAAAGCATGGCACAAGCATGTTTGGCGCTCCACGCGGATGTCTTGGATCCGCGCTGGGCCCCCCCTCCATGGCGCGCGGAGCGCGCCAGGGGCGGCGCCGGAGGCGCCGCCGAGGGGGGCCTGGCGCGGGTCCAATCAATCCGCGCGGAGCGCCGACAATGCATGTTTATGCCGTTGCTGCCTCTTCGACGGTGGACGGCCAATCGTGTGTTGATGCCGTTGCTTCCTCTTCGGCTGTGGACGGCCAGTGGTCCAAGATCCGTGTCCGGTGGGCCCAGGGGCCCCGAGGCCGCTCCCGGCGGCCAGCACCCCGCCAGCCCGATCGGGGCGTTGCCGGCCGAACGGGGCGGTCCCTCCCCCTGCCCGAGCTCCTCTTCCCTTCGGAGAGGGGCGCGGCAGGTTCGTGTCGTGCCGACTTCGACGCTGGTCTCGGACAACCGCGCTGTATCGTCCAACCTTGAACGATCGGCCGATTCCGAAACGTCCTGAATTTTGGTGGACTCCACCAAAATTCAGGACGTTTCAGAATCGGTCGATGCTGAATTTTGGTGGACTCCACCAAAATTCGGCATCGACCGATTCTGGGTCTCCAGCGGCGCTCAGCCTTGAACGCCGGCGGCGGGGTCCCCGCCGGTCGACGCGACGCGAGCCTGTCGTACAGCAGGAGCACGACCACAAGGAACCCAACCCTGAGACCCCAGGACGTGCACTGATTGATTTTTGCTGTGGGAACGTCACGCTCTCCATAAGCAACACTGCCGAAACCAAAGAAACCAAGGGCACCCTGGAGGCAAGCAGGGTGTTTCCTTGGCGTGGGCTTCCACTGTAGCGATGCGGCTCCTTCCTCGTCCAGAGCTCCTCTTGCCCTCGGGGAGGGGTCGCCTCCCCCCTCCCCTCCCTGAGTTTGTTCTTCCCCGGGGGGGTCGGCAGCGGTCGGCGGGCCCAGGATGGCCCAGGACGGCGCCAAGAGGGCCTCCGATGCTCCAGGGTGGCGTCCAAGAGGGCTCCAGATGGCCGAAGATGGCTTCCAACATGCTCCAAGAGGTGCCAACTACTGCTCCAAAACGATTCCAGGTGCCAACTACGCCCCAAGACCGCCCAAGAGCGCCCCAAGAGGCGATGTAGAGGGCCCCAGGAGGGGGACCTAAATCGGGGACCTCCCCTTCTGACCGATGGCTTCCAAGATGGCCCCAACAGGCCCTCCAAAGCTCTCAAGATGGACCCAACAGAGCCGCAAGAGAGCCCAAATACCCCCCAAAAGTGCCACACGATGACACCAATACCCCCAAAAGAACCCCAAGAGAGCTCCAATAATGCCTCAACAAGGCCGCCAAGGGCTGCCAGAGTCCTCGTCCTCCTCGTCCTCCTCGTCCTCCTCGTCCTCGTCCTCCTCTCATCGTCCTCCTCCCTGCCATCCTTTCCGTCCTCGTCCTCTTCCTCGTCTCCCCGTCTTCGTCATCCTCCTCGCCGCTACCCTCGTCGTCCTCCTCGCTGTTGTCCTAATATGTCTTGTCTTCCGTCTTCT